CTTAAAAAACACCAAAAACCCAACAACACCCCCCGACAAAAAAAAATCAAATATTTATGGCCTTCACACAATGCATGCGCCTTCCAGTGGAAATAATAAACTGATGAGAAAGCTCTGCGATATCTGGTGATTTCATTTATTTTCATGACTTTTGGCAAATATTTCAGATATACGAAGGAAATAAATGATTACTTGTATAGCGATAAGTTGATGTACAAACGAAACGCTATGCCAACGAGGGTTTGCCGTTAGACAGGTTGGTATCATGTTGAGCCATGGTGCAGATAGTACTGATTCGATCTCCAAAAGGGCGTTGTGGAACATAGGCTACTGCTCAAGTTTTCAGCCTAATCATCAACTTGACCTACTCCTACCGGAGATGGAATTGGTACAAGAGGTCCCACTTCATAAAAGATACCCAGAGTTTTCAAACGAACTTAAAAGTCGTTAAATTACTTAAACATCATGGTGCTATTCAGAAAATCTTAACCTATTGGCCCTCAATGCGCTAGCTAATTGTTAAATGAAATAATCAAATCTTCTTTCTCAAGTCTACTTTTTAATTCACGAACGAATTTTAAACAGACTGTGAAACAGTAAGCTACTTCTACACTTGTCTACGAAGGCGGTTCCATCATTGTAGACTGTCTGTGATTATTATTTCTTTAGCTATATCGCACTCTCGATCAATGGGTCAGAACGGAAGAGCTGATAAGAAGACGTAGAAAGTTAGAGCAACGATGCCACCTGAATAAAACAGACGGTGTTGCGTTTACGTAGCTCCCCGTCAGTATGGGGAGTAGCATGTCATACCAGCTGGACTATCCATATGCCCCAGGTCTGTTCTGGGCATTGCCATAGGTCGTTGTCATTGTGTGGGTTTAACGCCGCTTTGAACACTCTACGATTATTTAAGAAGCGGGACCTCCGGATTTAATTAACGCCAGTCTTCGATAGGAACAGGCCAAAGGGATGAAGAGGCCAAAACCTCCCTAAAACAATCCAAACTCTGAACACTTCGTTGTGTATTCGAACCAAGGCCATCCTCTCCATGGTCTACTATGATATCAACTGAACTTGTGGTGCGACATCTGGGCATTTCCCATCTTTTGTTAGTTAAGAAAGTCATACAGGCAACTGCTTTTTCTTCATCCCCGTTACTTTTTATTTGTACACAACGTTTGTACAGCTAAATTAAGTGAACGCATCCATGATACCATGTGGGTCATAGAGGTAGGTGTCCCATATTGTTTAAAGCTTTTCTGTCTGTGAACGTGATTACCTTTCTAAATACATAATTACTGCATTTTAGCTCTTTTCTACTGCTTGTATGTACGTTTTCCTGCTCGGTTACGTCTTTTTGACCAATTTTTATATCCGTGAAAAAATACCATATTCCTCATTTATTTAAAAAAGCCCCCAAAACGAAAAGGCGCACGAAAAGGAGTGGTAGTAAGGGGGTTGAGGTGGGGTGGGGGCGTCGTGAACGGTATTTGGAGTATTAGAAAATTATGAGAGCGCTTAGAGAACAGTAAGGTGACGTCATAGAGCTCATTTGCATAAGCAGAAAAAGTTACCTTCTGGAGATTATAAAAGTAAGAAAATCAAGGAAAATGTCCGAAACTGTGCTTTCTTTGTCGAAGAGAAAAGGACATAACAGTGCAGCCAGCTTAAGATAAGATAAGCGTGTTGTTCATTCGTGGACCTCGAGATGTAGCGATAAGTTTATTACATTTTTCATCGGGTTGAATTATAGATTTGAAATAATTTTTTAGCATAAAAACAAAATAAAAATTGAAGACAGCCTAAAGGTAAGCGAGTGTTCTAACATTTTTTTTCTGAATCATACACACACACACACACACACACACACACACACACACACACACACACACACA